CAATGTTGCTTACATTGTCACATGCCTGGCTGTCCACTCGCAAGAGGGGTCAAATTCAAAGCGGTGTCCATCCATATCCATCCATATCCGTATTCACCCATATGTCCCTATTCAGGGTACACTCCGGAATCCAGGGACAGTCTCTACTCAGGATGCAGGCCCAAACGTCGAGTGATTGGAACATGATTTGCTTGTATTGCGGTTTACCCCGCAAGGCAAAGACGACTCAGGGGGATCTGCAAATGACTGATCAGCATTTTACAATACCCTGCTCGATATGCCCTGAAGTGGCCCTAAGGCCACACCCAGGCCGGGACCCTGGTCTGAGGCCGCAAAGACCAAGGGGAGAAAACCCCCCTAATTGGCCTCAGGGCCTGTGCGCTCGACAGCTGACTTCGGTCAACTGCTCAGCGGCCCAAGAGTCAAAGTCTGCATGGACCCGGCCCTGACCGCCGGTAAGACACTTTTTTGTATGCAGGTACCAATATAGCATTTGGACCAAGTTGAAGTCTGCAACTGTATGCGGTCCAGACCCTCGGCTGCGAGTCAATCTGAGGATCCGTGAGTGGGAGACCTGAGGCCGGTCAACGTCGTCAAACACTTCATAAGGCCCGGCCTCCAGGGAGTCAGTCTTGCTATGCTGACTTAACGCTGGCTTGACGCTGGCTGGACACTGGCTTGACGGCGGCTGCACGCTAGCTTGACGCTGGCAAGACGCTGGCTGCTTGCTGGCACTGTGGAAGACAACATGAGACTGCTGCTTGCTTGCTGGTGCCCTTCTGTCTTGGCGCCAGCCTTTGCTGACGTGGCGCAAGCCACACTGTCTTCAAGATTGCTGATGTGGTGCATGCCACTCTGTCTTCATTGCTGACGTGGCATTTGCCACAATGTCTTCATTGTTGAGTTGGACGCGACAAGAAGGGGGATCGGGGATCTGTGGATGATAGAGAGAGAGAGGGGATACTTACCTGTTGATGATGTCATACTGCGCTGCTGAATGTCTTCACAGAAGAACTGTGCCACATGGCACTCTGATGTGATCAGGACCTGTCAGGCTCGTTATTGGACACTGTTTGCTGACGTGGAGGCAAAGGAGAGGGGAATGTTGGGTTACTATCTCTGTGGTCATTGATGGATGCTATCTCTTCCACCTTCTCAACTGTCTAATCCCCCTCTCCTCTCTTCCTCCATTGGATACGAGACATTGTATCAGAGATCACATTAATGATTATTGGAGATATTGTTCAGCGTTGAGTTACCTTCTATTTTGACGTTTGACGAGTATCCTACGGACTGGGTTCATTACAATTTGGTATCGGAGCTTACCTTCTTCGTTGTGATCTTCTGTCAGGCGCGAGGTGGCGCCCACAAAAGTGGGGAGTGTCGCGCGATTGGAAAGTGTTTATAAACGCCCGCGATCATAATCGCGGGCTAGACATTGACTGCCACGCGTGCATGTTCCCTTGAAGATGATGACATGGACTGACGACGGCGTCATTGGTTACACGGTGCGGTGTTGCTGACGTGGCGATCAGGTAGCGGCGAGAGCATCGTTGGCTGCAGGCTGACGTGGCACTGGTGGAAGAGAGAGAGAGAGAGAGAGAGAGAGAGAGAGAGAGAGAGAGAGAGAGAGAGAGAGAGACATTGGGGTATTGGGACTGTTGACGTGGGGGGCTGACATGGCGCACGGGTGCTGATGTGGCAAACAAGGATTGGCAGGGTGCTGCCTACATGGCATGGTGCAGGGGTGCTGACGTGGCATCCAGGGATTGGCTGTGTCCTAGTGTGTCGCAACTTACCTGCTCACGTGGCACTCCACACTCCAGAATCCAGAGGTACTTTGATCTGACGTGGCACAACAAAAAAAATTCCCTTTTTCAAATATTATGATATTTAACCTTCGAGCTTTATTTAACTGTTGCCCGCGTCGTTTACACACAGTTTTTTAACATTGTAAGGTTCATTCACGTTGACTGATAAACACACAATGAAGGACTGTTGCTTCAGCTCATTAAACGTTATATATGTTGGAGAGACCCATGAACCAACCACTTGGACAACATTCGTTCAACAATTTACAAGTGTTCGACTAACTGTTCGCCAAATGTTGATTCAACAGCATTTTCAACACGCGACATCGTTGGAAAGATTGTTGGAAAACATCAAGGAATGTTTGAGCAAATGTTGATTCAACAACATTTTCAACACGCGACA